TGCTATGTGTCTGCATTGGCATATTTTTTTTATTCTAAATCAAATGTGACATGATGATGGTTCTTGGCTGGTGAACATTTGTTCTGTGGTATCCTTTGACACACTTGATTAAGCTTTGTCCTCTGAAACCTTTTGTTTTGGTTTAATTTAGGCATTTAGCTTTTGGCATGCACATGCTTTTATTTGTCCGGATCAAACAGTAGCTTTTTGATTTTACTATCAGACAATGTTACTTATATCTAAACATTTAGCATGCACATATTGTTTCTTTGTGGTTTGCATCAAAGATCATCTTCTGTAGTCTTCTTTGTCGATGGTATAGCTGATCTTTCCTATATTTCTTATAGGGATCGTCTTTATTTTGGATTCTGCAGGATACTGTTTCTTTGAGGTTTTCGTCAAAGTAAATTTGCTTGCCTTCTTCTGACTTATTTCCTGGTTAAAGGTGGTTGATGGACAAACAATTAAATCCAATCAGTTACCTCCAGCACTAAATACTGACATATTGAGCTAGCAACCTATTGGTTCAGTGCGTGTTGCATTTTATACTTGCATTTAGTAATCTAATGTGATGTTTTAGAAGGTATCCTATTGGTGATAGTCCGCACGCCATCGTTATTGTCATATGTGATCTTAGATTTTACCGGTGTCATCATGCAGGTCGATTAGAACAAGGTATAATTGTTTATGCCAGATGTGCATGCTCAAAGATTTTGGTCGGCAACTTATAGTGTGTATCAAAGGATTCTGAAAAAAAAGGTTAGTTGTTGTTGGACATTGGACCTTTAGTACAATAACAAAGGCATATGTACCCAGGAATCAGAAACTGAAGCTACTCTTACAAGATAGTAGAATCTTCACTTTCGCTATCCATTTCTTGGACCTGAGTTGCAATGACTCTGACTTGATTCTTGACATGCAGAGATGGCAGTTCTTGCATGATTATTAAAACTACCAATAGAGTGAGAACAAGATGGGGCGCCTAAGAGGCAACATATATGAGCATAAAAGGCAACAGGATAAATGAGATTTATGTACTGAAGAAGAGTGGCTGAGTAAGTCTCCCATCATCCTAGAACACTAAATAATGACATGATTTTTACTTGAGTTAGGCTTGACTAGAGAAGGAGCCTTAAATACTGATTGTTTATAGCCTGATCTCGTTGTAGTGTTGAATCCTTGCATGTCTATTTTTAGCATATACCATTGTTAGAACCGTGGATTAAATGGAGTCTCCCCAGGGCACTTGCTATTTCAGCCGTCCAAGTGACTGTCCAAACGACTTCCACCAAAGTTTTATTGCTTATTGATTGACTTTTACCAGGTTTCTTATGATTGGCATCCTAACTTTTGACTATGTACATGTGCATCTTCCTTTTACAATGATATAAAGATGTTTTTAATTTTCTCATCTCATAGGTATAATAATTCAAACTATTTACATGAATACAGGATCTCCACATATTGTTAGGAAATGTAGTAGTTATATATTCTTCATCTATTATAGATTAATTCAAAAATCTATTATCACCGTTTGCAATCTCATCGTTATACGAGATCAGTCAATAGCTAATGGTTTTTATTTCTTCATTTCTTCTTTGGCGTCGGCGGGTAAGCTGATTAGGCTATTTCCCTGTGGATTCCCTGCTGGCTCCCACGCTTTTCCCTTCTCTCTTTTCCCCTTTGTTTCTAAAATAAGAAAGGGTCATGGGAGGGAAGTATGGTAGGACGATGTCACCCGCGGTTGCGGCTACCATACATTTCGATATGGCTGTGATTGTTTCTTGCAGTTATATTATCTCCTCTCCCTCCCACTCCCCATCTTTCTATGCATCTCTCTTTCTCTTCCTATCCCTTGCTAATTCTCTGTCTAATTGACCATGAAAAGAGGTTTTTGAACTGTAGAACCAGTAAATAGATTCAAGTTTAATACAATTCACTATATGTTGATGAGCTTGATATAGGAGAAAATCGCTTTGCCTATACTGTTTTCCTGCTAACTGATAAACACGTGGTTACAAAAAATGTACCGATTGCATGGATAAATTCAGATTTGGTGAACATTTATAGATTCAGTTCTGATGTACCCTCTATTAACTCCAGTTTTGGTTGTCAATGCATTGTTGCATATGAGATTTGAATATAACCATAATCTGATTGCTTGTTGTTAAAGACTAATCTTTCTAGGCCCATGCTAATAACAATCCTCTTGCGTTTAAAATTCACTCTTAATAGGGCTCAAGTACTAGGCACATCATGGAAGGGGCAGAGTGGATGACCCGATCTACCTCGGTAACGATGAAGGTATGTATGTATGCATTGAGTAGCAAGTGCCATTATCTATGAATTCTATTGATGTTGTGTTCGACACACTGGTTGGTTCAGTTTTTCAGGTAGACACCATCGTAAACGCCACTGTGTCGGAAAGCCAAGGATTGAAACCATGTGCAGTAAACCATACCTTTGTGAGAGGACCAAGACAAGAGGTAACACTGACCCCGCTTGGATAAACTATTTACGATATGAAATTGTAGGTCAAGGAGGTAACAAATCTGTGCGTACAAAGTAAACGAAAACACATCATATGATCTGAAATATAATAGTTCAAATTTTCTCTGGACTACATGGTTAGCAATTTAAGTTGGTGGAACTAAGAGAACAATATAGTACTGTAGTTTATACGGTGTAGTGATTTATCCTTGAATTCATCTCTTACCGTGAAAAACATGTTTGTCGCTTCTCTGTGGTTAAATATTTCATACTTCTCGAATATTAAACTATTATACTCGATATGCAGGACCGCATGTCCAGTATGGTACAGCCCTTGGACGCAGGTGCTTCTATACAAAGAAGCTAAAAAGGTCTCCATGTGAGCATGGTTGACTCAGACAATCTGTTGGTACGACGAAGCCTGCCATCATGTACTACATATGTGAGATGACCAATACTACCACCGCTCTCGGGCAAGGAATGGTGAGAGCAATGGTCTTAACCATCATATGCTACCTGTTTCCAGTATTTCTCAGCTCCATCACATGGAGAGACCTAGCAAGTTACCTTGAGCAATCAATCGAGGATATGCGCTAAGGATCAGGTCAAGCCTAAAAAGGGAAGATTGTCGCTCCAGTGTCTACCCGCTTTGGGAAGGCAGTTACGAAGTCATAATCATACTATTATGCAAATACTTCATGTGAATTCATTAGTCAAACAGTACAATAGACAGAGATTCATGTACCATGGCACGTAAGGAGTCGCACAACAAGACAACCGAACGAAGCTATCAAGTATTAGGCTTTACCATAACTACTTAGGTTCTTTATCTCGCACCGCCTATTGGCTCCCTTTGCCTATATAATTACTCAACTACTGTATTTACTTAGTGATGATCCATCGTCTTGGCTTACTTTTGGAAGAAAAATGCTCCCTTCCTTTTGGTATATCTGGTTGCCTTGCCTTTGGCATTGCTTGGATGAAATGCTCTGTAAATTTGCTGCGTTGGACTGATTAGTTTTCGGCAATCACATTAATTTCCTTTCGCAACAATAAATACTTTGTTTGCATGCTTGAACAATAAGTATTCATTGCTATTTTTTGTATTTGCAATGCTCTTATGAATGTATTATTGGATTGGATATAACTGTACCCGGCAGCGCGCCGCTGCCGGTTGCGGCAAGCCGCACTTCCTACCTAGTTTATTATTAAAAACCACATCATTTCTGGTAAGCGACAATGCCCAGTATAAAGCAGCCGCCCCAACAAGAATATGTGCAGAAAATTGTTTATCAATACCCCGCAACCAATTGCCGAACATGTTACGCGCACAACGTGACATCTTTTGGTTGGTTAACTCTTATTGCTGTACGTAGTTCCATCAACTCTTGATCTACGCACTCACGTCACTGCATCTGTTCTTTGCTTGTGTTGGCATGCACTTGGCACTTTGAATTATTCCTTGCTCCGTCGTTTGAATTATTCCTGACTTGTTGAGGACCTTACTTGCTCCGTCATGCAGCTTATTAAATTGTTGCTCACTTGTTGGTGACCTTGCTAGCTACTCCCAGTGCCTGCCTTTTGTCGATCCATCTATAAGTAGTAGCAGAATGCTTGCATCTGAGTATGAGAGCGATCCAAGTGATCGGTCGGAGGTGAAGCCAGCAGCAGCAATATAATGGAGCACATCGTGCATCTACCACACGCCACCGAAGAGCAACGACCGCTCGCCGCCGTTATGTATGTATGCAAATTCTTTTTATACGAAACACTACATGATGCATTATATGTTGGTGCAATATAACATATTTTTATATGGGAACGGCTAGGCAGCAGTCGACTGAAATTTCAGAAAGAGTCAGTCGATTCTCCTTCTCCACTCTGAACCGTTAAATCAAAATCTAATGTACGTTGTTCGTCTTCAACCTCCCGTCTCTTCTTCCTCTCGCTCACCCGCCGATCCAGCTCAGCCCTAACCGCCGGCCCCCGCCTACCGCGGCCGGCGGCGCTCCCGCGACCGCCTTGCCCCCCCTTCCTCCCCTAAACCAC